TTTATATTATGTATTATATTATAAGCATATATATAGTTATCTATACATATGTGCTTATAACTGCATAACCTTGCAGTGCTTTTGGTTTTATCCTTAAATTAAATGGAGACACTTTTGAATTCTGAGCAGAAAAATACCTGTTCATTGCTCATGTGTGCAAAAGGCCAGAGTGTTTAACAGAGACAAGCTACTAAGCAGATGTCAAAGCAGAGGTAAGATATGAAGCGCTGCAGATCTGCCCACCTGGGCATTCCTGCTGTGCTTGTGGTTGTGCGTGCAATACAAATGCCTACATGTTCCTGCCTTAGTGTTGGGTTTGCTGTTCCAGACAGGCAAGCATGCAGCTGAGAAGCACTATGCTTTCCAACCTCTTCTGAGGCGGAACCCTTGGCACTGGACGTAGCTGAGACGGTGGTGGTGGGAATCGGCAGCTCTGTTCCTGCTCCCTCCCTTAGACAGCTGAGAATTCACATTATGGCCAAAGCAGGTCTGTGGGAACGGTCCTTCTATGCTCTACTGTGATCTGTGATCCGAGGCAACAGAGAGGGACTCTACAGCATGCTGTCAGCATACACTGAGCACAGTGCAAGCATCACCCTTAGCTTCTGCGTGCAGAGGAGTGGAGGGTATGGCAGCGATATCTGCAGGTGAGGGTTCTCCAGTGGGTACTCACTGTGAGCATGCCGTCCTGTGTTCAAGCTAGTCCCTGAGCTCTGGCTAGCGCAGGAGCGTCATCCACTTATCTCCTGTACACAGAGCATGGTGTTCACAGACAGTCGTATCTTACCCCACAAATAGCCTGGGCACAGAAATGAGACCTTCACTGCTCTGCAGGCATTCAGTGGAGACAGGGTTGTTCTTGCCTTGGGATTCTGGTCCTTAAGGTCATTATTTGGAAGCGGGTATTTACTAGGGAGGCTTCATCTGAATGAGGCTGCCCCCATGGTTGCAGCAGGATCTTCTGTCACTGGCAGGCTCTTGCAATGGCTTTTGGCTCCTGATGGTGTAGTTTCAAAATATATGTGCCTTTCTGGGAGGGAGCTTAGTGGCTCAAGCATGAGTCAGTCCTTTGTGCTTACTTTGGCTTTTTTCTCTGCTGAGCAGTCTCCAGGTTCCTGTAATGTGCTAGCCAGCATCAGCCTCTATCCCTCTTCTGTGCGTATTTGTGACAATTTTGCTTGCTACAGCCATGGTCACTTAAGCTGAATAACATTTTCAGGCTGAAATGGCCAGTAGCAGGGTGATTATCAGATAGAGGAAATGTATCGTATTTGCTCTGGCCTTTGGTTCCCAGATAATATAACGGCAAATTGAGTTCCTGGAAGCTGGGAGGTGGCTTGCAAGATTACATGGCCCCAAAACGCATGGAGGCAGTTTGTCATGTGTGACAGAGAAGTGGAGGGGGAGGTCGAAGTGAGGAATAGAGCTGCTCTTGGTGCTTAGCAAAGGCCAGGTGTGGCTGATGGCTTCTTCACCTCAGGAACACTGAAGCAGCAGCAATTGTGCCTTGGCTGCTCTCCTAAAAGTGCTTTGGTCGGGAGTATAAGTTCATTTAAAAGTCTCAGCTACTTGCAGAGCAGTAAGAGATAGTGTATGTCTTAATTTTCCTCTCCTCCTTCTCCCTCATCATTCCTCTAAAGCTGGTGCTTTAGAATCCCTCCTCCTTTTAGGTTTGAACCACCTCTCTGGGTGGCTGGAGGTGGCTGCGTGCTTTGGATGAGAGAAATCGAATTAATGTTCATTCCCTGCACAGCTGGATGTAGATGTGAAGTGAGACCAGACCTAGGAGTAGGTCCTGTGGTTCCTACTGGAGCATAGGGCCAGCACTCCTGTGTGTGGGCTGTGCAGGATGGGGCCAGTTCTTGTGCACATCTGACCCAGAAAATGTCAAAGTACCTCATTATCTCCAGAGGAAGCTCATTCCAGGCTTGCTTTGTCTGGACTGTGAGCACTTCCCTGGGAGTGCAGCTGAAGCTGCTAGTGAAAGACTGGGACCAAGCTAAAGACAGAAATCTTGGCAAATGTTGCATGGTAGAGAGAAAGATGAGTAAAATGCAAAATAAATTTCAAGAGAGGAATCAATAGCCTTTAGGATCAGGGTTTTCCAGCCCTTGTCCTGGCTGTGGTGTGAGGCACCCTGACAGAGACCCCCTAGTCCAGTGCTCTTGCTCTTCTCCGAAACAGGTGTTGGGGAGAAGTGGCTAAGCCAGCCATGCAACACTTGTACCCCATGTGGCAGTGCTGCGCTGTGCCAGCAAAGGCAGCTTGGCAGCCTGCCTGGACCTGGAAGCTGCAGCAAGACCCACTTGGGGAGGCATCACTCCAGTGCCAGCTGTCCCAATAAACGGTGGGTCATGGCTCAGCCGCCTGGGATGCAGCTGGAAGGAGTGTGGCTGCTCCGGCTAGCGATGTCTTCAGTCTTGTGCTCTAGAAAGGCAGTCTCCCATTTCATATCTCCAGCAGGGGAGGTCACATGCAAAATAACCCCCTTGTGCCATCTCAGGGGCTGGCATGAGAGTGATGCACAGGAGACAGGTGCCGGCATCAGCACTGCCACTTGCCCAGCACTTGTATCATTGGGAGGAAGATGCTCTGCAGCTGCCCAGTGAGGTTCAGCTTGCACAACTCCAGGTGGTACATGCTGCTGCAAAAGCCCTTCCCTGGTGTTCTCCTTATTCATACAAATAAAGTATATGTATGTGTATCTAGCCAAATATTTTACAATTATATTATTTTAGTAGATCTCAGGATGGAATTATTTTCCTGTTACTACAGCATGCATGTTAGTTAGGCTTGTTGGTTTTCTGGTTTTGCTTTTTGGTGTTTGTTTGTTTGTTTGTTTGTTTTAATATTCACATTCTTCCATATCTCTTTTATTTTCGTGCAAACATTTCCTAAGTTTTTGTTTCTGACTCTCCCTGTTCTTCTACTTGGCTTAGATATGGTTACAGACTCAAAATCTTAGACATTGAAATTGCATCCTTCACATTTTTCCCTTTAGATTTTCATTGCTCTGATGGGCAGATTAAAGCCCCTCCCAGTTTCTTTGCCTTCTGCAATTTCAAAAATGTGTATTGAAGACATCTTTTTCTGTAGTCTTAACTGATCCTTTGTGATATTTGTTGGTTCTCTTCCTATCTTAAGTAAAAAGATTGTTGTTTGTTTGGCTTTTTTTAATCTCTCAAATAACATCTCCCAAAACCATATGGACTTTTTCTTGTTTCACCCCAGAAGATGTGTAAAGTGATGTTTTACTTTAAATATGCTTTGCTTAGGATTTTCCAGCTTGCTTTTGCACTTGTAGATTTAATATTTCCCCTTGCTGCTTATGTTTACACTAAACATTTGTCTTCATTTTCAACTTACTGTTGTGTTCAGCACAGTGGGTGGAAGTCAAATAGTTTGTTATTGATTACACGGTTTCCTATCGCAGTCTTATTAGTTCCTGCCAATTAGCTTGTTTTGTTGATAAGATTATTGCCATTGGTTTGCTGTAGTAATCATGGTTATCCAGGGATATTTGAGCAGTGATGCTGATCCATACAGTAGTTTTGAGAATCCCTAGAATTGTTTCCTTGTTCAATCTCCTCTCTCCTTATACTAATCTGTTGCACAAGGCAAGGTATTATTTAACTTTGCTGTTGTTTTTTAATCCCTATATCCTTACCCTAATTATTTAACAACTGCACTATTCATTGGGAGATGGTTTCTGCACAGGGATGTTCTCCACTTCTTAACATCTCATGTAATGCCTACTCTGGAACATCTTCCCTGGTTTCCAGCAGTCATTGATTTGAGGACTGGACTTTTATGTGGACCATCCTGTTTAATCGTTGCTGCTGTGGAGCAGTGTTTTGTGAATTTGCCTAGTTCCTTTCTGAACGATATTCTGTGGCAATGGCCGCAAGTACCATATTTAATTATACACAGTGGGAGGAAAAACTAATTCATTTTAAATATTCATATTTTAATTAGATGCCATTAGTTGTTGCACTATGAGATGTAGTGAAAGATATATTCATTGTCTGTCTTTTCCTTGTTTTCTAGACCTCTGTTGTCACCCTCTTTTTATCCTAGGCATCTCTTCCTGAGAAGAGGAGTAGTTGTGTATTTGATCACTCCTTGGTTGAATCTGTTTCTTATCTCTGCCAGTCCCTTGTCCCTTTCCCTGTTTCTCCCATAGGAAGTCAAGTGCTGTGTGGGTGCACTATGGATTAATGTGGTGGCACCACAGTGTGTGTTGCTTTGTTGCTGTAGTTCCACTACCTTCTCAAACTCCCTGTACACAGCTCAGGTTCTGCTGCTGCTTGCAGGCCTGATACAAGGACACTGAATCCAAAAGCATAATTTTTTGTTGTTCTCTCTTGCCCCAGATTTTCATAAACAGATATAATAAAAATATTTTAAAATCTTGCCTCCCTTACATCTTTGGACCATCACAGCCGTAACACATCTACCCTGGACAATACTCTATTCTGTTTGCCTTTCTTATGGCCTCAAAGCATGAAGCTAAGGTTGTTGGGTAAATACTTGCAGTAATCCCAAGACCTCCTTCTTGAAGAGCCACAGCTAACCTAGGACTAGGTATGCACAACTGTGGTTGTTTTTATCCCTGCTGCATGATTTTTCATCTACTGCTTGTCCACTCCCATTTGTGGCTTCTGGAGTGATGGTCTGGGATGGAGCAGTGCTGCTTCTGGGAAAGACCAGTGGCAAAGATCCCTGGGTGTGAGGGAAGAGAGTTTGCAACCTGCTGAATTTCTGAACGAGGCTGTTTTGGGCCGTTAGTAAGAAGCAGTAGAGCATTTAGCAGAGTTTATTTCCAGCTCGGAGCTCTGCTGTCCACCCCTGCTCCCGGCCACGGCACAGCCCAGCTGCCCCTGTGGGCACTGCAGCTTGGGTTGTGATGTAGGACCTTGCCCTTTGCCCATGTCTTCCCCACTGAGCAGATGCTCCGTGATGGGAATTCGCCATGAATTTGTATTTCATCTTACCTCTTCCCAGCAGGTCTTGGGGTTTCAGCTCCCTTGGGCAGGGCTGCAGAGGCACCTGTGTGATGTCCCCTTTCTCCTGTGATGTCCTCTTTCTCCTGTGCTTCCAGGCAGGGACAGCATTGAGCAGTGAGAAGACAAGAGAGCGGGAGCCAAGCGGTCCCTGGCCTGGGAGGGAGAGCACTGGCGGATGTGTGTGAGCCCTCCTTGAAGGCGGGGGGAACAAACCCCTTTGCACTGGCCATGAAATCAGTCATGTGTAGGTTTTTGTCCAGCCCTGGGGGGTGGGGGAAGGAATGTGGGTTGGGCGAAGTCTAGGATTACACCACGACTGAATTTTTTCTTTCCACACTTTAAATAGCCAGCACCTTTCAGTCCTGCCTTTGCGTCTCCTGTCGGCTCGCGCCCTGACAGCACCGTCTGCAAGGTAACACCTCTGCCCCTGTTTTCTTCTGCCCTGTTCCCCCCGCGCCCCACACCCACCCGGGTCTGCCGTGGATGAGAGGTCACGGTGCGCTTTCTGCCTGTTTAATCATTTTCTAGTGTGGAGGGGTCCTCCCAGTCCTTCCTCGCAGTTGCTGTCAAACGCCTGCCAGTGTGTTGCTCCTCTTCATCCCAAAGTGTTTTATAGGGGACTATGTAGGGGGAGGGGAGAGACTGAAAGTGCTGCTTTGCTCTCCCCCCCCCCTTTTTTTTTTCCTTCTCCCCGGATGGTGGAGAGTGTCATTTGTTGCCAGTGACTTTTCCTGCTCTCCCGGAGAGGGAGTTCCAGGCAGGAATGAATGGCAGCATTAAGCTGGGGGAACTGCTTCTGCAGGGCAGGAGCAGGCTTGAGGGCTGGCACCGTGCAAAGGAAGGTGCCCTCCTTGGCATGAGGTCCTGAGCGATCCCAGCCTTGGCACCGGCTGTTGGTGGGAACCGTGGTCCTTAGCCTTTGCCCTGCGGGACTCGGCAGCCCATGAGGAACAGGCTCAAACACCCCCTGAGCCTCTGTTGCAGCAGAGCTGATGCCACCAGTGGTGCCCATACATGTCTTCTTGCTGTGCTCTGAGGCACCAGCTGTGCACCAACAGTCACATATGTGATGCCCTGGCTTTCTTGGGAGAAGTGTCCTCTCAGGTTTTGGGGGAAAGCTGGGACAGCAGGATAGGTGCCCACCTACTCTGTGCCCATCTTCTATTCCTCTTAGCAGAGATCTGTTTAGAGACGGGAGAAGCTCTTGCAGTGCCGAAGCTTCCAGAGAGTGGTACTGTGGGGAGCCTTTGTAGGCAACAGGCAGATATTTGGAGTGGCAGAGCCTGGGAGAGGAGAGATCTCAGGTGGCCATGACATCTGCACCCTATCTTTTCCTGCTATTAGAATGATAGTACTTTTCTGAAAAATCAACTTTTCTCCAAAGCAAGAGCTGCCACCACCAAAAGCAGAAACTTGTTTCCCTCTTACTTCAGTCTGTCCTCTTCCTGCATTTAAGACTTCCGTGTGTTTTGTGGCTTTCATTGCGTGGTCTGTAAAACCAGACCTTGGTAAGAAGCAATAGGAGAGAAGAGAAACCCTTATAAAATATATTGTCAAGTATTTGATCTCTTTCTCACTCTGCTCCAGCCTTAAGTCTGTTTCCAGTACCTGCTGCAGCCTGACTGAGCTGCTGAATCTTCTGTGTAACACTGTGCTTAGAGGATGGGTTTCCAGAAGAAGGAGTGTTTTGAGATAAATCAATTAAAAATAATGAAACTGATAGTGGCTTTTAAGGACTAGTTTTGCACTAAGCAATGAAAGTGCATGCATGATCTTAGTGCCTGGCTGCCAGCAGGAATTGTTATAAAAATCAGAGCAAGAGATGAACGGTTTGGCATGGGGTGCGTGTTCTCTCCCCTCTCTTGCCTCCCGTAGCCCACATTTCTGCCTCATTGCATGGCTTGTACTGATCGTAACAGAAGAAACTCCTTCTGAAGGTGGGATGGATTACAGAGTCCCTGGTGCTGTCAGCAATGGCGAAACAGTACCTGCACACCCTGGCATGGAGAAGAAGGAGGAGGAGGAGGAGGACCAGACGCTGGAGCGAGGACAGTGGAACAATAAGCTAGAGTACGTCCTCTCTGTGGCTGGAGAGATCATTGGCCTGGGAAATGTCTGGCGCTTTCCCTACCTCTGCTACAAGAACGGTGGAGGTAAGTGCGGCCCTGGCCCTGGCCAGCCCCAGGGGTGCCTGGTCACTGTCCTCCCTCCATGGTCCCTCCTGTCTCTGCAATCTGTGTCCAGCCTTGCTCACCCCTGACAGCAGCTTCTCAGCAATGTCCAAGTCATGAGTCTGAAGAGAGGATGCCAACCTGCCAGCATAGTATTGCTGTCTGGGACATAAGCCGGGTTTGTTTTGACCTGGTGGGATGTGGGTGACTGAGCAGCAATGTCCCGGGGTTTCTGGTGGCCTTAGCCATGTTTCCCTGAACCCTGGCCCTGCTGGTGATGTGAGTGGCTATCTGCAGGGGGAGGCAGGAGGAGCAGGGGGGGGGCTCAGCTCTGAGCAGTGTGACTAACTCCAGGCACCCCCTCCTTGAGGAGCATCAGGCACCCTGTACAAGATGGTGAATCCCAGTGGCATAGCAGGGAGCAGTGCTGGAGGCCACGAGGCACCCGTGTCTTTGCAGGGGCTGGGAGGAGCTGCAACATTTCCTGGAGGTTCGAGGGGCCTCCAAGGGGCTCTTGTCCACAGGTCCTGGTCTGGTGTCTGACCGTGGAGGGATGTCCCCTTGGAGCCAGGTGTCAGGGACAGGTCAGAGTTGACTCATTGCAGGAGGACAGCACCCCTCCTGCACCCCGTGGTGCCCCCCAGGCATCTGCCAGAGCTGCAAGAATGTGGGAGAGGGGACCCCTGCCTCTGAGCCATGCTGCTGGGCAGTAAGGTGTGTGGATGGATGTGCTTGATGGAGAGAGAGGCAGCAGGGTGTTACTGCTACTGCTGAGGTTCTGGCACATCAGTGCTCCTCCAGCTGTGTTCAGCAGTGACTGGTGGCCGATCCCCCGTGAGGCTGGGCTGCCCATGACTTAGTGGCAGAACCAGGCTTGCTTTTGCAGGTGGAGGGTTGCTCTAGACTCTCACAGGTGTTTGTGGCTGCTTTTTACGGGGAAAAAATTGTCTGAAAAACTGAAAGCCCAAAGCTCTTCTCAAGTTTGGCTCAGTGGCACATGGAAAGAGGGAGTTTCTCTCCCTGTCTGGTGATTAATTGCTAATTGGCTCTCCGGAAGGGCAGGGGAGAGGGGAAACGCTGCTTGGCTGGGAGCTGGCAGGGAGTGAGCACTGGGGACCTGGAGCTGAAATCCCCTGGCTTGAGTTTGGGGTAGTCTCATGGGCCTCACTAAACTGCTTTCATCCCAGTGGCATAAAAGAGGATTAACTGCTGTTTAGCTACTTTCATGCCATACTTTGCTCAGTGCTTGTTTCTTTTCACCAGGTGGTCAGGCACTTTCTTTTCCTTTGAAAAACGAGGATTTTTCCTATTCTCCTTTTCCACGGGTAACGTTTCTTGGCTGCTTGCTGAGCTGTCTGCTCCCACTGCTGCACCCTTCCTGGGCACCACCCTCTCCCGGGGGAGTGGGACCTGGGACCCTGGCCTGCCACCCTTATCCCTGCTGCTCCTCCCACTGTGCTCCCCCACTGGGATTGGGGGAGAGCTGAGGGCAGGTTTTGGGGAATGGGGAGCCACAGTGTGTGGTTGGACAGCAGAGGCAAGATGCAAAAGGATAGGGATTTCTCAGCATTTTTTTTTCTCCCAGAAAATGAAGCAAAGCCCTGTGAAGTGGCAGAGACTATGAGGAGTTTAAAGTTTCAGGCACATTTTTCATCTCCAGCTGCCTTCCCATGAGGTTAGAGCAAGGATGGGGCATGAGAGTCTTGTGCAGAAAAGAAAGTGTCTCCTGCATGACTTCTCCTGGGGCAGGGCAGTGCAACAAGGCTGTGCAGGACTCAAGGCTTCCTCCTGCACCATGAAGTTCAGCCTGCCCTGGCTGGTGCTGTATCAAATCCCTTGTTAACACCTCAAGATTTAATTTTAAAAACTGCCAAAGGTTTTGTCCTGTACTCCTGTGGGAAGGCTGGTCCAGGAATTTGTTTTTCTGGTACTTCCATAAAGGTGAGGGACCTTTATTTAATTTCCAGCTCTAGGTCAATCATGGCCAGCCTACAACCATTTGCTCTTCTGCCAGCATTACCATCTGGCTGAAACAGCTCTGCCCTGCTGGCTGACTTTTTCTCTCCCTGCTGAATTGTATGTAGGCAGTGGTGATAACTCCTCTCATCTCACACTTTGCTTTCCTAAGTCAGACTCTTTGCAAGAAAGATATCTGCAAAATCTGAGCTATGCAAAGAGGGGCAGCCAGTCACTTATCCTTTTTAGGGATATTTCTGCATAACAAAGAAAGAGTAGTCATTTACACATTTAGTGCTCAATGTCTGATACCAAGATCCTATATAGTGGCAGAAAAAAAAAGCAAAAATGTTCTTTTTGTTCTTGTTCACTCTTGCTTTCACCTCCTGTGGCCTGGTCAGGCCCTCCCTGGGCAGGCTGGCCCTGCCTGTTGGGAAATATTGGGGAAGCCTGTCTGGTGGTCTGGCTGCCAGTGTCACAGCCCCTCCCCAGTGCTCCCCAAACCAGCTGGTCCCAAGGGCTCACCACTGCCTCTGTCCTGCACATGCCGCAGTGCTTTCCGCTTCCCCTTCAGCCAGACAAACCTCTGATGGGTGTTGGGGTTCACCCGTGGGGAGGAGGGATGGGGCTGGCCCAGAGGGATGTCAGTACTGGTGGACCCTCATCCACACTGCAGCCCTCCACTGCAGGCTTCTGTCCCTGCCACCCTCCAGGCCAGAGTGTTTGTGCAGTGTGGCTTTGCTGGGCGCAACTCCTTGGCTTTTACTCCTTGCCTGAAATCCATCCTGCATTAGGGCTGCTAGCATGAGGTACATTCCTGCACTACTTGCTTATCGTTTGCATGTCTGCTGCTTTTCGGTGAGCAAGTGATTGACAAGCCCACAGACTAGGGGAAGGTGTCAGTCTCTGTGCTCCTCAGTGCCTTGTTGTTGTCGTCATGGCTTTGTCAGCTTGTCCAGTCAGAATGATCAATGTAAAAGGAGTCACCAACTTGATTAAAAGTCATAAGAGTTTTACAGCAGGGTGTTCTGTATTTCTATACAGCTACTGAGAACTCGTTTCACTCTTTTCTGCACAAAAATCAGGTCTAGAAACTTTCTTTTCCTCTCCATCTTTTCTAAATGTTGAGTTTCTCATGCGATCACATCACTCTGAGAGATGAAATGTGGTGAAAATCTTTTTTTCCTGGCATCCTGTCTGTGGTCTTTCCACCCCTGCAGTCCCCATCCCTCCCAGGCTCCCAGTCCTCACCTCCCCAGGAGGAACCTGCCTTGCACCAGGTTGGAGAGGGCCTGAGCCCAGTCAACCTATGGGGCTTATTTTTCCTATCTGCCACTTGAATCTGCCAGGTGCCTTCTTCATTCCCTATCTCATCTTCCTCTTCACCTGTGGGATCCCCGTCTTCTTCCTGGAGACAGCGCTGGGGCAGTACACCAGCCAGGGAGGGGTGACGGCCTGGCGTAGGATCTGTCCCCTCTTCGAAGGTGAGTGGGGTGAGCCTGAGAGGTCATGGTGAGGTGGGGGGACCACAGGGCCCTGGAGCGACAAGTGGTGATACCTCTCCCCACAGACTGGATTGTTACGTACCTCCATGCATCTGCTGTCCATCCCTGAGGATCCCAGCCTGGGAGGGCCACTGGCTGTCCTCTTTCCAAAACGATGCTGAAAAAATTTATTATCTTTTTCACTAAATAGTTCCTATCATTATGTATCATCCTGGTTTCCTCCTTCAGGGCCATGGCTCTAGAGGAGCTTTGCATCTAATCAGGGTTGGCCTCCAAAGAGCTAAATGCTGAAAATGCTTCTGGTCGTTATAAGAGACCTAAAATATATATAAAACTATATTTTTAAATCAATGCTATGTTATTTTTATGAGTTTGCAGATGTCTTAAAACCTTAGTGGTGAAAGGTGTCAGCTATCTTAATAAACTGTTAGCAGTCAGATCCTCTTCTTGCACTGTTTCAGCAGTTATCTGGTTTTAAGCCACTTTCCATGATTTCTTTGAAAGTCTCAGTTGCCTCTACCCTATGTACCAAAACCTTTGGATGCTCCTCCAGCACCTCCCAGAGAAAGTGTGGTGTTAATACAAAAGCTTCCAAAATAGAAATGAAAAGGGATGAATGAACAAAATAAAAATTAAATTTCGGTGAAAGAGATGTTATTCAGCATGTGGAAAACAATCATGTGTTTCTGTCCCTTTGTGTGACTTTCCAATTATAATCTGCCCATCCCTTGTCCAGATGTTATCCCATTGCTGCCCTTTCACCAGGGAAGTCTGCAGTGGGGTGGCAGGAAGAGAGAGTCCTTGGGGCCCCTGCTTGGACCCTCACAATGTGGCATGGTGGGCTTTGGGGAGGGGACCCTCACAATGTGGCTCTGGTGGCCACCCCACTGGCACTCATCTGGCAGTGCAGTCAGAATGCGGAGCAGCAGATGAAAATCTCCTCCCTAGGGGATTCCTGTTCCCATCCCCCGGCACGTGGGTCACCTGCCTTCGGGGCTCGCTTTCTGCAGGAATTGGCTACGCCTCACAGGTCATCGTGGTACTGCTGAACTTCTACTACATCATTGTCCTGGCCTGGGCCTTGTTTTATCTCTTCAGTTCGTTCACCATTGACCTTCCCTGGGGCAGCTGTGACCACGAGTGGAACACAGGTGTGTGTGGAGTCCCCTCCCAGTCCTCCATCGGATCCTGGCTGAGGGAAACATGCTGCTGCCCAGGACCAAACCTCAGGAGAGAGGCTTGCCCCTTTGTGGGTGGGACCACGGGTCATAGGGGTGGAGAGTGCTGGGTCACTGCAATGCTGCTGGCACTTCTGGGGAAGAGGCTTGGTTGATCTGGGTCTTTGCTAGAGAGCGCCAGTGCTGGCACTGCCCAACCACTTGCAGCACCTGGCCAGTGCCACGCAGTGGTGGCCTTCCTGGTGGCTCCTGCTCTGGGCTCCAGCCACTGTGGGCACCTTCCTTCTTGGTACCTTCCAGTCATTCTCTGCTGTGTGTGAGCTAATGACCCAGTGCTGGTTGGGACTGCTCACTGTGCCCACTGGAAAGAAAAATTAAATGTCATTGTCTTAATCGTCTCAGGTTTCTCACCAGCCTTACCCTGGAGAGCTTTCCTTTTGTGCATCTTTGGGACTCTACAAAATTTTTCTCACAGTCCATGTCAGTGACTGTGAATGGAAAGGGAGGGATTTTTCAGATCCTCCAGTACTATAGCCATTGCTACTTAATGCTCCCTCTCTCCATGGGCGTCTCCTGCAGGGAACTGCATGGAACTTCAGAAGGCAAACTCAACGCTCAACGTAACCAATGAAAATGCCACGTCCCCTGTCATCGAGTTCTGGGAGTAAGTAAAGAACAGGCTTGTACACCCCCACCCCCCACCCCCCC